GAGCCAGGCTTGCAGGCCTTGCACAAGCCCCAGCGCCTGCTAATCCTGCAGGGCTGTGGGTTGGATCCATCCTGCTCCTCCTGAAACTGAGTTAGAGCAGTGAATGTGCATGCTATTGCTGGGTTGTGGGCAGACAGACTGCTCGGGCACACCTCTGGATGGGAAGGCCCATGTGCCTCAGTTTCCCTTTGTGAATCAGGAAAGCCTTACCTGCTTGTGCTGCAGGGCGTTTGGGCACGTGGTGGCTCTCCCTGGACAGTGTCAGAGCCCAGCTGCAGGTTCCCCAGGCTATATGTCCAAGCAGTGCTGCAACATCAGCAGTACTACAGTTTCAGGGTGCGTGCACCGTGTGTGTGCACTACGATGCTCTCGTGAACAGCAGTCTGATGGCATGGGCTGCTTGCTCCAGCAAGGAGAAAACACACAGGCTGCAGGCTGGGATCTGTGGGAAGCAGTTCCAACAATACAGGGTGCTGGCTGGGGGTTACTGGTGAGTTCTGCAGCCCCTCTTGCTGCTGTATTGATGCAAATGCAACGCAGAGCCCCGTAAGTCAGCCAGGCGCACGCAGAGAAAGGCAGGGATGGATGGAGTCGGTGTCAGGGCAGCAATTGCTTATCATGCCTTATCTGGGAATATGAAACTGTATTGCATGACATCCAGAGGCAGGCTGAATAGATATGCCAATTCATCTCGAGCCCGGGCTTTGACAAGCTAGACTGCCCTTGTTGAAAGGCATCAGTCAAACAAGAGCTGCTGGCTGCTTTTCCCTTTCTTATACTTTCCCTCGCTCTCGCGCTCCGTCTCCCTCTCTCGCCACCTCCCCTCCCTCCTCCTTTTTTTCTAAGCTGTTTCCACACCAAATTGAAAAGCTTTGGAAATAATAATAATAAAAGCCCCCCAAACTAATACCGTTTTAAGTACCCCCCTCCCTTCCCAAATGGGATTGATAAAGAACCCCAGTGTATGAAGGCATGTTTAGATAACATTGAGAATATTATAGCGGGTGAGAGAAAGTAGGGGAAAAGCTTCCTGCCGCGTCTAAGCCGGGAAAAGCGACGGCACCCTGGCTAATACGAGTGTTTAATATTTGATGTGTTGGGATAAAGCAGGATCACCTTCGAATTGAATTGAGTGTCAGAATGAGAATCTATTACTGAAATTCTTGTGTGATTTGACAGCAAAGCAGACGATGTTATTCTTCACTAGTTACCGCAATCTTCTCTCCTACATCACTTAAATATTTTTTTCTTTGCTTGAGTAAACACACATTATCCTTTTTTTCCACCCCCCTTTCCTTTTTTTCTTTCCCTCTTTTATACTTTTTTTTTAACGTTTTTTTTCCCCTTAAATCAAACCTGCCTTTCGCAGGGCCGATGGAGCAGATTGTTATTTCTTTATTTGTCCTATTAAATGGAATTCCTGATCGTTTAATCCCGCTTTTGTAAGTGATTTAAAAACACTTGAAAAGCTGTGAATGCAGCAGCCCTGCTGACTAAACTGCTTAACAGGGACACATTGCACCTGGGCTGGTGCGGCATGGGGGAAATTCCTTGCCTGCCGCGGCCAGGCTGCAGGGGATGCTGTGCTGCAGAGTGCTGGGGGACCAGCTTTCCTCCTCGCCCTCCTGCTCCTTACCTACTCCTATGTATGTGTTTTCAGCCCCAGCCAAGCTGTGTGGTTTGGCCTGGATGATGTTCATTTGCCCTTTCATCGCGCTGGTGAGTTTGCATGGCAAGGAATCCCAGCAAGATATTTCCTGCTCCCCTCCTTCCTGTAGCTTGCAAGCAATAATATGGGATGGCCAGGACCCGCTGCCCCAAAGGCACTCTCAGCCCCAAAGCCGTAGGACGGTGTGGTACCAAGGACACTTTAAGCTCTGTTTCAAATCCCACTTAGCTGCAGGCTCGACCTCCTTTTTCCTTCCAACACACAAAGTAATATAAAACCCTGACATCTCATCATGGAAGCAGCAGAATGAGGTGGGTTCGAGGGAAATGCTTATGTTGGGCATGCGGTTGACATGACGAGGGGAAGAAGATGCTTTTGCTGTCGCAGAGTCATTTTCTCTGTTGCAAGGATGTCAGGGGTCAGCCTCAATCCGCGGGCTGCTGTGCATAGGGGTCCTGCTCCCTCCACTTCCCATCCCCATCCTTCAATATCTCCTCAGCCCACCCCGTGTCTTTGCTCCTGGGAGGATTATTTCGAAAGGAAGTACTTTCTCCCTGCGTGGTATACATGAATATTAAAATTACAGTTAGCGTGTTAAACGTTTAAAGACACCAGATGGGTCATGGCATCGACATGGCAGAAAGGACAGGGAACATGGCACTGCCAGCCCCTGTAAGGTGTCTGCTGAATGCTGCTGAGTGCTTCCTGTGAATAAATGATGGGGCATCGTTGAGCCCACTTGGATCCATACATCAGCTTGGCATGTTCCAGTGCAGGGAGCACACAGCATCTCCATGCCCCAGCCTGCTGTACCCTGAGTGCTGTCCCATAGCACCTCCCTGCTTTGCTTCCCCCTGGCTTGAGTATCCTGCAGTTATGCACAGTGTGAGTTACCCAAGGACTTATTCCCAGTCCTGTTAATGGGATGTGGATTATCTGTGGTGCTGGTTGCATGCGTGGAAATAGATGTCTAATGTCGGGCTGCTCTTAGCTCCCATTTATCAAGGAGGATCTGCTTACCTTTGCTTTGAGATCCCTGCACCAGGGAGTGACCCAGGGCAGTATTTGTGAAGTGCTGCGTATGCCTATGGGATTGTATAAGTAAATAAATATAATTAATAATCATCTGGCTTCAGAGGAGCATTGGCTGGGAGGTAAATGCGGCCTTCACAGAATTACAAACAGAATCAGGAAAAAAGGGAGAGAATGGAATGGAATGGAAATAACTGAGTTCAGAGTGCTTGAAAATGATTCTGCGGGCGTGTTGTTTTGGTGTTTGGTAGCAGATCAGAGGGGCTGAGTTCGTATTTGAATCAGAATTCTGACCCAAAATATTTTACGAGAGCTTTTGGAAAAGGTACCCACATTTTTTGTATAGTTCAAATGGAGATGAAAACAAAATCCTGCGGGGTGCTGCTCTCACCTCACAGGGCTCTGCTTGGTCCCTCCAGTGAGGGAGGAACAGATGAGTGTGATTTCCTGGCAAAAAGGGCAAAAAGCCACTGGTGCTGGCATTGGGACCTCGTGTCGGGTGCTCACTTTAACAGTCAGAAGAAGAACTTTCCTATTTAAAGATTAAACGTTGTCTTTAAATATTAAACAGCAAAGCTCTTCGTTCTTGATTGTGTGGCTGCTGCCGGCAGGCGGCTCAGAATTGCCAATTTTAATTAAAAAACTTTATTTTCGAATACAATCCACCACTGGCAGAGCTCCTCCCTGGCCAGGCTGGCTGCACTTCCCCCGGCCCGGCTGCTTTCCGCCTGCCCACGAGGTGACAGCAGTCACTGCACCGAGTGTGAGCGGCCTCAGCCGGACCGATCAATGCTCCTGGCACTTCCTTCCAAAACCCCAGGAAAAACAATTAAAACCCAATCGATCCTGCAGACAGCTTTGAATATGCATAAGTGCACACTTGACCTTCAGTGGTCAGGCCAACTTCTAGCCGGGCTGCTTAGCTAGTTTGCTCAGGTAGCACGGCTGTACCAAATGACCTTGATTAACAAAGCAAAAGTGCTATGCAAAAGAGGTGCTGATCTGGGAGATCTAAGGTGTGGGCTTCTTGTTCTGTTCACAGCAATAAACCCCAATTTTAAGCAGGAGGGAGGTGAGAAGGATGTGGGGCGCTTGGCCGATGGGTGTTAAGGCAGCCTTACCCTGTGCATGGCTGTGGCTTTGCTGAGATGATGTTGGAACGGTTCTCCTCACCAGGAGCCTGATGTTCTGCATTCACCCGCTGCAGCCCAGGAGAGGGAGCCAGGAGCCCCAGGCAGAGCTGCTGTGTTTGACACCCAGACCCCCAGAACTGGGCATGGGGCACAGCATCCCGACCAACACACAGCCACCAGCAATCCCAGCAATGAAGTTATCAGAGCGTGTTTGTTGAACGTGTTGTGTACACACAAAGTGTAATTTCAGTGAATTATGCATAGACTTAATTAGGAGTTTTAATTGCTAATCATCTCCCAACAGGATTAGCAATGCTGTCTATTAATTATCCGTGGAGCCCTCTGTTTTGCTAAGGCAGGAGCAACAAGGCAGCGTAAACCGTTAGGAGGCCAGCAGTGAATTCCCAACCCCAAAGCCATGGCTCCCATGGGGCAGCCATGCAGCAGGGAGCAGAGCAGGGGCACTGGGGGCAGCCCCAAAAGCAGGCTTTACTTTTGGAGCCCTGCTGCTCCTCCATGCAGTGACTGTATGCAGTGATGATCCCCGCTGCGGGAGGGAGATAGGCGCTGCGGGATTGACCTGATCTCATCTGGGGACAATGGCCCTCACGGCAGCAGAGATAGCACTGTGTGAGTTGTGCTAAGCCCACGTGCTGTTCTTAAGGCTCACAATGCAATTGTGAGCTTAATTCCTCAAGATGAAGGAGACAGGGGGCTCTCAGGCTGTAATTATGGCCGCATGCATGGTGCGGGGCTGGCCTGCTCTCCCACTGCTGTTGTCCAGTGGGGCTGTGCCACTCGGGCAGTGGGTGCTGCTGCAAGAAGCTGTGGGGCAGGAGCAGATTCTGGCTGGGTTATGGGCTCTATGGGGCCCAGCGGGGTTTCTTCTAGAGGCGAAGAGCCCAAAGGCTGTAGGAGTCCCAAAACACCCAGCCATGGAGCTGGGGGCTGCCTCAGGACCCCCACAGTGACACTCCTGTGCTAGCCTCAGTGTCAGGCCCTGGGCATCTCTGAAGTGGGACAGGCCTGCACCACCTCCTGGAAAGCTTCTTTAGGGGCAGTGTCTGGATCTGTGTTGAATACTGGGGACACAAACACACGTGTTCCCTCCAGAATGTATCTCATGTGCCCCATGCAACCTGTGACCTTCTGCTTCTCTCTTGCAGGCGTACAGCTTTGCCATGGGGAGTTGGCCAAAGAACGGACTCTTAGACATGAACAAAGGACTGAACCTACAGCACATAGGGAGGCCTCACAGCGGGATAGGTAAGTGACCCAGTGCTGTGTTCTGCCTATCTCCATGGCTCCAAGAGCTGCTCAAAGCCAGATGCTGAAGGCCAGCCAGAGGGCTGCATGGCCTCTGGCTGGCAGAAGGGAAGAAGATGCACCAGGTTGTGCCTGCAACACGATTGGAAAGGGGGAATGCATCCTGGCTCTTAGTCCCCCTGGGGAGTTGCTCCAGGGGTGCTGCAGCTGAGAGGAGATGAGTGCTGGGCTGGGAGCTCTCCCTGCTCTGGGGTGCTCTGAGGACTACAATTGTCTTTGGGGGCAGGGGCAGTGCAGGCTGTGGGATATGTGGGCAGCAGGGATCTGGCCCAGGTTCACCGGGCTGTGCCTCAGAGGGCTGCATCACACTTGCCTGCCTTGTGTCTGCCTTCCCTCTGCCTCCCAGCCCTTCATCCAGTGTGACTTGAGAGAAGTAAAGTTTGCAAGAAGGTAAGATTTACTTGGAAAAGTCACCTGCTACCTGGGCCTTGAGGAGGCTGTTTAATATTGTTTCAAGACTCTAACCATTAAACTCTCCAATCAATCCAAGTTAAGGAGATGAATTATTTAAAGCTCACCAGCTTTTAATTAGCAAGCTCCTTTTGAACTATGGATCTGGTTGCATTATTGACGGAGGTAGCATTAAAATTTGCTTCCTTGCCTGGGAGCAGAGTTGCCTTGCTGGTGTGCCACACTGGCGGTGATGGGGAGCAAGCTGGGACTGCAGGAGCTGTGTTCTGCCTTCTTTTGGGGCTTGAATCTTTCCTAGAGACTCTCTGGGGGATGCAGAGTTGTTTTATGCCTCATCTTTTGTTTTATTTATGGTGAGAGTGCTCTGTTGCTGTCATCTCCTACTCTGACAAAGCATCCCTAGTTATGGAGTATCATCTGTCTGCTCTTGGTTTCTGCCTGTGTTTATCTCAGTGCTGTCTTGCTCAGGTATGTCCCTGCCTGATTGAGTTGAAAGGTGCTGCTCACCTGCCTCTCCACTCCAGTCCTTTAGGAAGGCTTTGCTGCCTTGTCCTGGAGCAGGCATGTTTCCTGCAGAATTTCCTGCCCTGTGCTGCCCCTCCCTTCCTGGAACAGCCCAATCCATGCCCACTTTCCAGGGCTGCTATCTCAAGAAAAGAGTTAGGAGCAGCTCAGCACATCTGCTTGCCTGTTACTTTACATAGCAGCAAGCCTGGACCTAGCTGTGGCTTTGGAAATGCTCCTGTGTTGTCTGGAGTCTCATTATTCCTTTGTAGGGTCCTGGGGTGCAGCAGGGTTGAGGAAGTTGGGGGGCAGACTGGGGTCCCCAGGGCTGCCCTAGGTGGGGGTCAACACCTGCTCTGATGGTTGCTGGTGTGCAAAAGTCTGCAAACCAGGGAGGGCTGAGAACTGAACAAAGACATGGATGGATGCCTACCTGTGCGACCTGCTGTAGGGAACCTGCTTTGGCAGGGGGTTGGACTCGATGATCTCTGGAGGTCCCTTCCAACCCCTACGATTCTGTGATTCTGTGATTCTGTGTGATTCTGTGACATGCGTAATTTCCCCTCTGGTTCCCGTATGGGAACCTGAGGGCTGGATCCTATATGGGAGCCTCACCTTGTGCAGCCGCCGCGCACGGGCAGGGAGCTCATGGTGAAGCCTGGTGGAAATCCAGGGCCACATCCCTTGGGAAATATGGCTGGGGCTTCCCTGATGGCTGGAGGGAGCTCTGTGCAGTTTAGGGCAGCACATCCCTGCAGTGGCAGTGGTGCAGCCTTGCTCTCACATCAACGTCTCTCTATGGAGTTGCAGAGACTGATATAAATCAGAATGATTAAAATCACAGGTTTTAATTGAGATTTAAATCAGCCAGCAGGGCACCTGCTTTCAGTAATTGATTTTCTTCTATATTCACACTGTTTTTAACTGTTTCCCTAAAGAAAGGTCATGTTTTACTGACCAGCACCTATCAGACTGTGTTCAGCTCTCCCAGGGATTAAACCTGGTTATTCTTTCTTACATTTAATGCAGTATATTTTCTACATTTATTTTAATCAATAATGTAACATAGTAAGCCTTTACTCTTAGTTTTTAGATTGTCATTACGTTAGAAAAATGGTGCATTACTGTTAGTTATTCAAGAAGTGAGGATTAAAAGATTGCTCATGATTTCAGCCGTAGTGCTTCTCGATGAAAATCAGAATGCTCTGTTTGAGTAACCATAAGTGGTTTAAATAATGTTTGTTGGTGACATTCTTCTTCTTCTACAAGCCTTTGTTGATTCTTGGCTCTGAGCGAGCCAGCTACTGAACTGAAAACACACTCAGAAAAGGGAGAAGTTCCCAAATGTGCAGAAGAAGCCACTGCTGTGCAAGTTGATTTCTCGTTTGCCCGCTCTGCTTTAACCTGTGGTGGATTGGCTGCCTGCAAAGCACGGTGAAAGTTCAGAATTCAGCCTGCAGATTCTTTCCGTTTCAAATCTCAGGACCCGTGGGCTCAGGACGGTGCCAGCGTGGTCCTGGGGCCGCAGCACTGCTCTGTGCCATGGGGCCCTGCCAGCCTGGGGGAGCAGCCCCACAGCCCGGGGGTCAGCAGCCCTACTGTGCGCAGCCCTGCAGGCACCCGCGCTTCCCCAGCCCCGACTTTCTCTTTTCATTTACTGATTGGAAATCTCGGAAGGTTAGGGCGTGATATTGTTCCTGATCCAGAGCATTAATTAGGCCTCGGATAGAAGAAGAGGAATTGCGTGTTTTTAACAGTGAGGTTAATGGGATGCTCGCAGAGTAGACAGTTTTAATGAGCTTCAACTCGACGTGCAGTGAGTTTACTCTTTGTGTTAAAAGGGTCACACTGCAGTAGTTTGATGTGGATTGTCTCCTGGCCCCCAGTGTCATAGGTGAGCGTCTGTCAGAGTCCAGTCAGAGCGCATTTACTTAGTGACACGATTCTAATTAACTGCCGCCGGCTGCCAGCGCCCGCGGTGCCCCTGCCCTGCCCGCGTCCTGCTAAGTGTGGGGCGGGCACACGGATGGTGCCTGTAGCTGTCAGCACCCACTCTCCTCCTGCAGCTTCATTTCAGCCTGCTTTCCTTTCGCCTTTTCCTTTCTTCTCGGGATGCTCCAAGACCCTGTGCTTCTCTCTGGCACGTGAACCAAGGGGACGAGGGCAGCGTTTTGTGACACTCCCCTCTGCTTTTAGCCACCTCTCACCCCAACCTCAGTGTGGCTGTGGGGACAGAGCAGGCAGATCCCGTCCTTCGGCTCTCAGCAGAGGCAGTGCTCTGCCAGTGCAGTACGGTGGGCATCATCCTCGTGCCAGGGGAACCGATGGCGAGAGCTGAGCAGAGAACTGGGAGCTGCCCTGGGGCCGCTGCCATGGACAGAACGGGGCTCCCTCTGCCAGGCAGCCGGAGGCAAAAGAGAAAAGACTCAGAGTTAAATAATTAAAAGAGACTTAAGGAAAAGTAAACAGAAATGTCATCAAATGAGGGGTGTCATTCTGAATTAGTGCTGGTAAAGGTCAGGCAGCTCCAAACAGGTGCCGCGGTGAGGCACTGCGCCCGGCTGGCAGAGCGTGCTGCAGGGAGCACAGCGGGACGGGGATGGGGGCAGTGGGGTCCCAGGCCCTGTGGGAGGGACAGGAGCCCGTGCTGGCCGGTCAGGGTCTGTCAGTGTCCAGTCAGTGCACGTTAACGTGCTGACATGGTTCTAATTAACTACCGTGAGAGGTGTCACAGCTGGAAAAGCAGGGAGCGGAGACGGGCTTTTAAAAAAAGAAAAAAGCAATGTGACAGTCCTCTTTTTTTTTTTTTTTTTTTTTCCCTTTCTTTTTCTTTCTTTTTCTTTCTTTTTTTTTTTTTTTTTTTTTACTCTTGTGTGCTCTCTCCCCTCCATGTGGGAGTGGATCTAAAGATAATTAGGATGTCTGGCTGCCTAGGAACCTGAGCCAGGGCTCTTTTGCTTTCAGTCATTTAAGTTTTCGACATCTCTCTGAAGGGACTTGGTGGCGCAGTGGATTACTGCGCGCCAGAGTGACAGAACACTCTTCTAATCGTAAACCCTTTTTAGAAAAGATTCTGCTCTCCCTTTTTCCCCAGGAGCAGCGGGGGGTATGTTCTGATCACTGCAGCTCTGTTCCCATACACGCCACAATGGGAAACTCAAGGTCTTTCAGCTGTTTCCTGCAGTTAACAAAGGAGGCACAGAAGAAAGAAAGGAAGGATGATTGAGTGTTTGTGTTGACTGCAGTCACCCCTCTGTCCTACACTGCCCAAAGTCGATGGCACACAGGGGCACGGTGCACTGCTGGCCCCGCTGTGCTGGATGTTGCTGGAGCAGTCCCGGCGTTCTGGTGGAGGTGAGGTAGTTACAGGGCTGCGGCTGCTCGGGACAAGTGATGCAGTGCCATGTGATGGGATGCCATGCTCTGCAGTGCCGTGCCGTCTCATGCCAAACCATTGCTGGCATACTGGCAGTGCGGGAGGGGCTGGTGAGGGTGTGATTTAGGGATGCTGTGTTACAAACCAGCCAGTCCCAACAGCAGGAGCTTACAGGCCTGAATTAACCTGCACTGCAGAGAGCCCTATGCGCTAGCTGGGGACCACCCTACTGTTGGCTGTCTGTCTGTCCTGCAGAACATTCCTCCTGTAGGCACTTGTTCTGAAACACGAGCACTTGGTGCATTGTGCCACAGCCTCACGCACTGGAAGACATGCGGTAGGTGAGAGGCCTGGGAAGATCATTAACTTTCCAGAGAGCTTTTTCTGTAGAAAGTAGAAACGTAAAACACTGAGTGACATTTTGATTTCCCCATGGATTCTTTGGTGCCTTAGTGTCTCTCTGCGACATGTCCCAGACGAGGCTTGTCCTCTCTTACCTGTGAGTGGGGAAGAGTTTCCTGTTAATGAACATAAACGTCTCAATTAATAGCACGGAAACATCTTTGAACTTCAAGCTACGTGTCCCTGACCCACTGCTGGGGACCGGGTGGTACGGCCAGCCCTGGGACGGTCCTTACTTGGTGGCTCT